ATGAAAAGAATTATCTAGTGAATTACTAGGTCGAACCAATCATTACAATCTGTGTCCAATCGTATCGTGGTCAATCTGGTCCCACCCGATAGCGCTGAGTAGCGCTAATAGCGGGCTCCCCGAACGCACCTATAGATAATAATTTATTAAATATTAAAATAATAGATAATAATTTATTAAATAATTATGAAAGAGAGAAATTTGTTAAATTAACCAATTATTTTTTAGCGTGCTCCCCGAACGCACCCTATATAAAGCTCGGCTTACATAAGGGTGAAATTACTTGCAGAAATTACTACAGAGTAAAAGAGTGCGTCATAGAAGCAACCAATCAGCAAAGAGCGACATAGCGCTGATTGGTTGCTTCTATGACGCACTCTCTGCTACATACCGCCACCATCTCACCAAAGTTAAGTGACTCGTAGCCAAAACTCAACGGCAGATAGAACGAGTACTTTAAGGCCAAGTTCCACAATATCCGTTTAATTTTATCTACCGGTTAAGTCCCAATAGTAATTGGTTAATTCTAATTAATTCTTCTTAATGTCAAATGCGATTGGTCAAGTCCAATGGAATAACCAGCTAGTTAACTGGAGATTGTAGAACTGAGCCTAAGTAGTAAGTCTAGACGAGATAGATGAGTTAGACAATTTATTATTTGTCAAATATATATTGTATATTACCAATACAAATATACATTACAGCTCGTCCAACTATTGGTTATGTAATCTTCTTGTTCTTAATTACTGCTTAATTATTAACCAAATGATAGATTAGGAGAATTCCTATTTACTCAATTACGCGATTTACTAACCGTCGAATTAAACCTTTTATTTTTCACCGTGCTTATAGTGCATAACCTATCATTTTATGCTAATAATGTACAAAACTTAAGTTTCCATCATCATAACTAGTCCGATCAAATTTTTCATTGTTTCAATTGTTCGAGTCTGTTCGAACTAGTCGATGACATCACGCGGTTACTTCACAGTGGTGTGTGCGTGATATCGCTCACCATCACACACATAGATGACACGTGAGTGTCGGAGCAATTGAGTGAGATCATTCGCTAATTGTCATTCCTTCATAATTAAGATATTGTATTTCTAAAGAAAATTCTTAAAAAAAGAAAAAAGGAAAAAGACGTAATCAGCGATCACTTTCCATGATCACTACGGTCACGGGGAAAGTTACTCTAATTTGGATATAACGACGCAAGGTATCGTCAACTTTTTCCTAAAAGCCTTTGTGGAGAGAGGAAATAAAAATATAAGGAATAAGGAAGATAGATATTAGATATTTGTTACTACGCCCCTAAAAAAAGACGTCCGGGAAAGAAGATCCGTTTGGTCAAACAAGTGACAAAAAGGTTATATTGAACAATTGTCACACAGAGTAATGAGATACATTAATATCAATCCTACTGTAGATATATTAAAAATAAAAAAAAATATTTGATATTAATAGAAAAAACCTATTAATAGGGAGAAACGACATACAGTGAAACAAAGAAAACTAATAGATAAACATAGCCTACGCAAAAGATGTTCTCCAGTGGGCCCAATTACACAAAACTCAAGACGCACTTGCGTCTGGCAATTAATCGGTTGAAACTATTAGAAAAGAAGAAAACTGAACTGGCACAGAAAGCTCGACGTGAGATCGCAGACTTCATTGCTGCTGGCAAGTCAGAACGAGCTAAGATCCGAGTTGAGCACATTATCCGTGAGGACTACATGGTGGAAGCTATGGAACTATTGGAGATGTACTGTGACTTGCTGTTGGCACGCTTTGGCCTCATCCAACAGATGAAGTATGTGTCATTGTTGTGTAACTGTTGAATAGAACCTTTTTATGTAATTGACAACTAAAGAGCTCGTTTTCAAACAAGCAACAATCTTAAATCTATGTTACTTGCTTTCAGAAACCTTGATGATGGCCTAGCAGAAGCTATATCCACTATCCTGTGGGTAGCACCTCGTATTCAGACAGATGTACAAGAGATCAAAGTGATAGCAGACATTCTGACATCAAAGTATGGCAGACAGTATACAGAGGCTTGTCGGGAAGAGGCAATACAGACCATATCTGAGAAGTTGAAACACAAGATGAGTGTACAATCACCATCAAAATTGCTTGTGGAGAAGTATTTGATAGAGATCGCCAAGAATTATAATGTTGAGTATGAACCAGATCCGCAAGTGATGGCAGAAGCCCAAGATGCAATGTTGATAGACATAGGAGCCAATGGAGGAGAATCAAGGAATAATCTGGATATGGCCAGTGGAGGTGGAGTTCCTCATCCACCTGGTTTTATTGGCTTTCCACAGGCACCTCTGTTACCTGATGCTGGATTCATGAGTGCGGTAATTTGTATTACTTTTTATCTCATTTAAAAATTGTGTACATTGAGCAGATGTAGGACGCAATATAAATAGCACACACACTTTAATATATGATAAAATTTATACTAGTATACACAATTTTAATATTTGATAAACATTTTCATTCTTAAAGAGTGTGATATTTTGGTTTTGATAATCATAGACATTTGATTGACTAAACTTTCCAGTGGTAATTTCTTAGTTTTATGCATCATGCAATTAAGGATATCGTAATGTTGTAGGGTTCAGAGAAAGATGGCTTACCCATGGGATTCGTATCTCCACCTTCTACAGAGAAGGATCAAAATACTTCTTTTAATCCCACTGCATTCTCGTACAACATACCCCTGGACAATGCCAATTCGAATAAACCTGTGAGTAATGTACGATTACTTACCAATAATATTAAAACTTGATAAATTAATAATATATTTAAAAAGGAAAGTTTTCTTGTGTGTGCTTGTGCAGTAACGACTGTATAAAACTAATTCATCTACTTATATAATATTTCTGAAAAATTATCAATTAGGAAGATCTACCGCCACCCTACAGACCTGATTTCCCACCTGACTTGAACAAACAAGTAAGTTTGTATATAACATTTTTCATTATTTTAATTTTTGCAAAATAGTTACAAAATTAATGCTATAATTTTGAAGAAAATTCTACTAGCTCACTAATGTTTGTTTTATTCTACAGTCGGATGAGAAACCGAAACCTCAGCCGAGGTCCAAAATACCAATGAATAACTTCCAGCTTCCGGATCTACCGGCGGTACCGACGGAAAATGAGACTCCTACAAATCCGCCTGAGAATGACGACATCGATTTCGATGATTTAATGAAGCGATTCGAGGATCTGAAGAAGAGGAAGTAACGTCCGGTGACGTGCGAGAACAACATCCGAAACACGTTATTTACAGCTTTACTTTACTGTCACAAGACGATATTGTATTTAGTACTGCCTTCGGCAAATAGGGAAAGTTTACAATTTAAGACAACGTGATATATGCTTGCGCTGCTTGCACTTTCGGCAATAACACTTCTCGAGAATCGATGAAAAATGCTTTTTTGCAAAACTCACTTACTACGAAATATAAATTTTCAATGACACAGTTTTATTAATTATTTTTGTAAGTATGCATTGTTTTGAGAAATACGAAAAGTAGTCAGCGCAATTGTTTGAAAAAAAAAGAAATATAAATATATAATATGATTTTCAAAGTTTCCTGATGTTTGTGTATAAATAATTGAAAAACGAAAACAAATGGTATAATTATGTTCTATTTGTGCGAAAATGTTATAAATTGTTATAATATTAATATATATGGTGTTCATTTATTATTTTTTTACCATTATGCAATTATTACATGCTCAAAAAGATGCTTTATAAGTTTCATATAATATTCTTTTAGATCACATTTTTACAAGAATTTCTTCTTTGTCCTTTTTCTATGGAGATAATTAGCTAATTGATTATGAGTCTGCACATAGTGTTATTAATGATTCCAATCCTCGCATCTCTGAAAAGAAAAAAATTACGTTAATTGTTGGTGTTTAAGAAATATTGGAATTTTTTTTTTGAATCTTTTAATTATACTTCTTATAGATCAAATATAAAAAAAATCTTAAAAACTCGTATTAGGCAAAAAATTTTTTCATTTAGTTGCCATCTAACATTAGTAGAATTGTTTAAAGTCGACAGACTTTAAACAATTCTACTAATTAATAATTTTTCTTAAAACACACTTCTTTTCCTTTGTCGGCCAAACAAGACAAGAGATTCTGTGAGAAATAACACTTGTCCTGCCTCATGTCTGCACTGAGGAAGTGAAAACACTCTATGATTGCTTCCTCCATAAAATCTTGCAACTCTGGATTTTGTATGTTGTGTGTCATCAGATTAATAACCAATTCCTGCGCGGGGAATCCTCTCTGATCCACCTGTTAGAATTAAAATTAAGAAGACTGATTGCAAGGTATTATCCTCAAATACTGAAACAGCTTGTTCACTTACCGCGTTCAATTCGTTGAAGAAACACTGGATGATGCACTGTACACAATAATTCATGTGTCAATTATGTAAATTAATTGCGTAATATATATATATATATATATATATATATATATATATATATATATATATATGTGTGTGTGTGTGTGTGTGTGTAATACATAACATATATGTCGGAAATATTATCATTTCGTAAAAATTTGCTTATACTGCTTATGTTTTTCGTGCATTCATTAAATACTTCGAAGATAATATATGTGTATATTATATAATTGTACTTGTATTAATATATCTTACAGTTCGTTCTTGGTCCTTATTGGAGTTTCCGAAGCTGCTGTTCATTTGATCGAAGCCTGAACCACCTCTGGCGTTTCCCTCAGGATATCCAAAATCGCGATGATTATTATTATTATTATTATTACTATTACCGTGATTAGGGTGTTGAGGACTTCTCCAGTTTCCATTCGTCTGATTGAGGGGATGACGTACATCGCTACCACCTTTCTGTTGGTTCCTTGTTGGTTACATTATTGGTTATTACCGATATTATCGTTAATAATAATTATCATATTGATCATTATTACTATATATTCACGAACTAGTTTATGTCAACATCAATTACAAGATATCGTTATCATTAATATTCGATCGCGTATCGATTACTTCTGTGAAAAGTAATCGTTCTATCTCATTTTGCTAACAATTTTTCTAATCTTACGAAGTTTGCGTGTGGGAGGTGTCACCGCCTTTCATGAAGAATTTGTTCAATAAATCCGAGTCGTCCTCGTCATCTTCACCTGACGAAGAATCGTCGTTGTTACCATTGTGTCGTTTCTTGCAGATCTGCACAACTTTGCGGAATTGATCGTCCGCTTGCTGGACGCCTGTTTTACATCTCAACGACTGCAAATATGAGAAAACTTGTTAAATTATACTTATCATTACATTCTTACACTGTGATATTATATTTTAAGTGTAATATAAACATTGTATCGATTTTTACATAAAAAATATTTACAGAGAATGAAAATATTCAGAGATTGAAAGATTCCAATAATTTTAGTCACCAAAAAACAACTTAAAGGGATATTTATTACAATGAAATTTTGTCGTAATTACTTACATTTGCAGACTCTAGCAGCAGCAAGCAAACGCAGCACAGCACAATGGAAATTACCTTAGCCATCTTGCGTGGATTGATTCCTTCCGAATAGCGTTCTTCATTTTTATCCACACGCGCTTATAAATCACCACACCAAAAATGCTCATATCACGGGCGAGACAAGTTGACGGCTGAATAGTTGTTACAAAACAACGATATTGTTCCATGTCTCTGAACGGAAACACGCTCGACTACTTTGCTTATGCAATTCCTTTAATTACTGATTGTATTCTCCATCATATTGTCGCGGGTTTTTTTGTTAAAGGTAACAATATCGAATCGTTGAAATAAAAAGGAAGAAACAGAGAGGGAGAGACAGAAAAAACTCAATCACGGAGAAAGTGAGAGTTTTGCGGAGACACAACACACAAGCTTGAATCTGCTTGAAAGTGATCAGTTCATCTGGAACTGTTCGCCGAGTTAGATACGATGTACATCAAGTGCTTTGTGAGTACTGTTCGTAATTATCGTAAGTACATATCTTATTTTTACTACGAGAAGTTCGCTTTCGACAGAGAATAACTATTCGGTCATTGTCATATTTTTTATCTCGATGAGAACCGTGCGATAGATAGAAATATTGATCAGAGGAAGAGCAATGGACCGTGAAGATGTGAAAGCGATCGAATGGTATTATACGACAGATTCCGTCGAGTAACTATATGACCGCAAAGTCGATGTCTTGAATTCTTTGTGCTTTTCTTTGCAGCTTCTCTTGGAACTTTCTATTCTCGCAACCATGTTACCAATACACGATAATCGTAATGTGAACGAAGAAACCATATCGCTACATCTCAATAATACCTCGATACTTCATCCCGCTATGATATCCAAGAGAGCGACGGAACAATCATCGGACGGAAGCCGAGTAGATTTTCAAATAAGAAATCATCGGGGACCAGGAACGTATATCTTCGGCTTCGATACTGGACACGGGTAAATATCCTCCGTTGAGACGTTTTGACTAAGCAATTTCTAGAAATAGAAATGTAAATGAACTTTTAAATCAACATCCATAAATGCAAATTGATTATGCGTAATCGAGACATCTACTTGGCGGCGATTATCAATTCAAGTATTTGTGGTGAACTAATGGGTGTAATTATGATCGAAATAACAATGGATTGTTACTATTATAGGAAAAATCGACAATACAGGTTGGAGGAGCGTCTGCGGGATGGAAGCGTCAAGGGGCGATATGGTTTTTACGATGCGAAAGGAAAGCTTAGGATTATCAATTACGTCGCAGAACCCAGCAACGGGTACCAAGAGCGACATCACGAAACTATCACTTCCAAACCTGAAACTTAATAAATTTTAAACACTCTCTACTTCTCTTCTTCTTCTGCTATATTATGTAATAAATATATTGGATATCCTAAGATAATCGAAGCATCTAACAATTATTACATAACAGGTTCTGAGAATTATATACAATTATATAATTCAAGGTTAAAAAAGAATACACGATACGTGTATGAATACCCTGTACAAGTAATCGCTGATGGCATATTGGGATTAAACCGTTTATTTAACAATAACAATCGCTATATAAGAAAAAAATATCAACGCAAAAAAAGATGTAAATGTTATATAATAATACCAAGTATAGATATATATGTATATGTAACTCTATATATGCATATATATATAGAGATGTATATATAATATACAGAGTTATGCATACGTTAGTCTGTGTGTATATACATATATATATATATATATATATATATATATATATATATATATATATATA